TAATCTTTCATTCTTACTGCAAGTGGCAGATTTCAAGAAGTTTTACCTCATGCGAGGTCTACCTTTATCGCCAAAAGGGCGAGAAATGAGTTGTTACCGATTTTGGTATTATGTTTTTCAATTACTCGCGCGTAAAACTAAAGTTGATGTATAATAGCGTTGTGTAAAGACTTAAATATTGTATAAATTTTATTTAAAACATTCTGGCAAGAAAGAAGTTTTAGTCTGAAAGACTTTTTGAAATGTAGTATTTCAATGTAGAAAGAATTGGCACTTGCTTTGAAAAGAATAGAAGTTAACAATGTACTACTAATGTATGTTTTCAAATGTGTAAAATTAACGGCATGTTGATATGTTCTTATATACAATGTGAACTGTTATTTTAAATGTTAAGAAATACCGTGATATGGTAAAAGTGAAAGTAATGTTAAAAATTTTTATTCGTGTGTGTGACTGTAAAAAGACTAAATCATGGTGAATATGTGTTAAAGGTTGAATGAATGTGTAGTTAGGCTCTCTGACGCTACACTTCAGAGTTAGCCACTTTCAGAATAGTACCTCAGGGTTTAGAGTTGAAATTAGGGTGTGTTAAGAGGTCTTGTTATGTTGAATTTTAACACGTTAGTGTTTTGATTGTAGGAGGAAGTGTGGAACACGTAGACAGAAACACATTCGTGTTTGGTGTTCTTTTACAACACATGTCAGAGAGCACGGGGAGAGATAATTAAAATAGTCATGAATGAAATAAGAATGTTAAGAGAAGTATAATTGTATATGTTACTTGCCATTTCATTGTGTAACATTTCATTAAACTAGTTTTCCTTCCAGATCTCTGGAAGGAACCAGAATTTGAATAAAAGCTCCTGTTTAGATGCAGTACAGATGAAAAAAAATTGTTGTATATCCTGGGAGCTGCTATTGTAAAAACAAATTTCTTTCTTTTAAATTTTCTAGTTTCTAGCGAAGTTAATGTTTGTAAAAGATTGGCCTCGCGTTAGATTCTAGAGCTAAAAGTTTTCAACAAGGTCGTTTTAGACCTCAGTTTCAAACTAATTAACTCTGGCGGGAAGTATGTAAGGATCTTAAGTTTTACTAACGTTTATTTTATTTTAAATCTTTACTATCACTTCTTATTTTCTACTTCCGGCCAGAATTATAAGCGTTAAGGTTTTTTTATGCAAAGTTTGTCTGGCGAACGCCAAGTATTTAAGTTGTGGCTTTTTGCCAAGCGAGAGAGAGGAAGCAGTGAGTCGAAGCAGGCCGCTTACCTTAGAAGTTACTCAGTTGCTGTTTGCCTTCCAGGCCAGAGGTTTTAATCCTCTTGATAAATTTAAAAACGTATTGTAGTGTTCACAGTCTCTGTACTACATACGCTTCCTGTTAATATAAGGCCAATCTTCCACGTTTATTATTCTAAAGTTAAATTAGAGTTTAGTTTTATTTTATATTACTTTTACGTTAGACCCCAAGTATGGGGTCAGTGTATTCCGAAATACGGAAGTTATTGTATATAGAGAAAAATAAAGGGTTTTGTATACCCTTCGTCTGTATCCTGTCTACTTACCACAATTAGTGAACATAGCTTTAGTAAGCTCTCTGTTCCGAGTCAGGTCCTTGTATGTTCCCGAAGAAGGTAAGAAGGAATATTGACCCTGATAACTCTAAACCATTTTATATTAAACAAAATTTATTTTAAAAGTCTCATAAAATTCAGTTCTTTTCAGTACATGCGTTCACACTCAGTTAGTACAAACAATTATATACAATTGCAAAAAAAAAAACTAAATATCTGAAGAAGCCTGAAAAGGTTAAAGACAAACCAAATTCAAGACAAAATTAAAAACAAATTCTGATTACAGAATGATGAATCAATTTAACTTCAAAATTGAAAATTAAATGTATTTGTAACCTAATACTAGGGATGGCTCATTTAAGGGAAGAAAAGTAACTTTTTAAAATTTTTTGCCAAAGAAAAATTAAATTGTGATTGCCGGAGCAAATCTTGTAAAAAAAAAAAAAAAAAAAAAAAAAAAAAAAAAAAAAAAAAAAAAAAAAAAAGGAAAAAGGGGGAAATATTAAAATGATAACAATGAAACTATTAAAAAAATCACACTTATTCTTAAGACTAAGACTTGCATGTCATCAATATGTGTCAACTGCAAAAAGTACAGACACCTAATAATAGTTGACAGAATTTTAATCAAACCTTGCAAAAGGGAAGACCAGAAAATGGAAAAATATTCCATTATCGAATAGCAAGGAACATAAAAACCATAAATGCCCACGCTTTCTTGGTGTGAAACAATTGGTAGCTGTACTGGAACGGGGGCTGGAGGTGAGGTGTGCTCTTTAAGAAGAGGTAACAAATGATAACATGGCGTTGTTTTTAGATGCTTGTCTTTTAAGAGAAACCATCCAAGACGGCGAAGTATTAAACAGTTATAGTTTTAAAACTGGCAGCAAAGCAGAAGAAAAGTGAAATAAGGGGTAGAAAAAGTTGTGATTCTTCACACAATCGAGTTATAAAAAGATCTTAAGAAATTGAAAAAAAGCCCTTTTGTTTAGTAAAAGAGTAGAATGGTCAGAAATTCTATAAAGTACACAAAAAATGTTATTTTTTTCACTCTAGCCAAATTCAAAGAGAAAAGAGAAATTTAATTATACATACATATTGAATTACTCGTAAAAGTCATCCTCTAATTACCTCTTTTTCAGGTTTGGGCAAAAAATATCATTTCACTGCATACAAGTAATTTAAAAAATAAAGTTCATGTCAGCTTTTTTTACAGTGTGTGAAATTGTGAACTTTGGAATTTGATTTTCTAAGAGGATATTAATAAAGTTCTGTATTTCTTCTTAAAAACAGTCTGCTACATTGCAAATTCTTTTGATTCTAAGAATTTGGGTATTAATAACATTAACAATAATTGTCTTGGAGATGTTAGAATTCCAATTGATGAGTTTTAAGGTGTGAAAATTGAAATCTCTTCTTTTATCATAGAATTCTGATTTTTTGCAGTTTAATATTTTCTAAATCAAGGTAACAATTTCTTGTTACTGTGGGCTAGTATTGTTAAGTTTAAGGCAAGTTGGATAGATATTTGCGTTTTCTATTTTATTAAAGTTATTGATTGCAATAATGTTATCTACATATCTGTAAGTGTTGGAAAAATAATTACATTGATCCAAATTCAATGATATTTGAAATTTATATTCTTGGGTGAAGAGAAAAGACTATCAATGGCGGATGAGCTGCACGAGCCCATAGGTAAGCTCTTGTATTTGTTTAAAAAAATTGATTATTGAATTTGATGTAATTGTTAAATAATACACTTCTTAGGAAAGGTTTCCATTCTTCTTTGGAGACAACTCTAATAACTTGCGTAAACAAATCAGGCAGAGTAAGAAGGCTTTCAAATATTTCTTCTAAAGGTAAAATGGTGTAAAGATTTTCAAAATCGTAACAATATTTACAGTATCTAAAGTTTGCAGCAGTTCTGTATTTTTCTCGCTTTTGTAAATAATCCAACTGAAGTGGTCTTGAAAATTGATATTATTGATAATGTCAAGAGCTTGTTTCAGTTTTCTATCAAAAAAAAGTTAATCTCTTTTAAAAAACATTTTATACCATTAGCAATGAATATGAACTTTACTAATGTTTTGTGAAATTTTGGAAGCACGTAAAGATTAGCGAATTTATTAAAGTAGCTCCTAAGGTTTAATTTTAAGTCTTCTATGTAAAGCTCTGAACTTATTTTTTGAAGAATTTTAGCATTTGTATTAACTTGTTGATAAGTAGTAGTACTAAACAGTTCTTGTTTAAGTAAATTTACAGTAGAAATATTTTCATAAAATACTGAAGTTGTTGCTTGCTTTGTCAATTTTTGTGATAATGAATTTGTCCCACAACTGTTGAATTTTAATTTCTAAAGCCTTCTTATAGTGAATTTGCTGAAATTTGGCTAAGCTGGAAATTCTCCAGATAAAACTTTAAGCAAAGCATCTTTCCACTCAATTAATGACTGACAATCCACTTTACAATTAATGACTGACTTACAGCCATATTTAACAGCATTCAGTTTCAGTTCTGACTCAATACAGATTTAACTAAGGTATGTTTTGATATTTACAAAGCAAAGTCTGCATTTTCCCTGCTTCTGGTGCTTCAGTCAGTCAGAGTAAGAAAGTAGAATACCTCATACCTTATACATTTTACAGATTACTTTAAAACAGAGGGAAATCAATCATCATATAAAAATTTAAATATAAGAGAAAGGATAGAATAGTTTACATTGAATTCAGTCAGTATCAAAAGAAATGCTGTATAAATAGCAATGTCTGAAAGAAATCATGAATTAAAAGATTAGTATGTAATAAAATGCAGTACACTTTACACAATTTAATATATAAAAAGATGGTCATAGGAAATATATATACGTGTGCATGTGTATGTCTGTGCACTACTGGAAGAATTACAGCAGTTATTTAATTCATCAACTGACACATACTAAGCAAAACTGCAATTTCTGAATACTATAAATAATGGTAATAATTATAATTAATACAGTAATTAGAGTAAATTTCAAAATTTGATCAATATATTAAAAAAACATGACATAAAAATATCTAGTTTCAAATCTCACAAAAGATAAAATCTGAGGGTGAGTTATTTTCCCTTCTAATGAGAAAACACTCTGTTTTTCTTAACCCTAGGGTGACTATGTTAATGGCTTTGTCTTCCAAACCCCTAATTCTCATAAAATAAGATATTTTGTTGATTTTTCTGCAAACTGTCCATTGTATTTTGCATCTGGAAGCTTTGTGTTTTAAAATATTGCTTTAATTTCTTGGACACATTTCAAAATGCAGATACATATTTATTCAAAGATGTTGGAAAAAATATTATCGAAAAAAAAAAGGGTTCTTATAATTCATTAAAATCTGATGAGATGTTTAATGACTTTTAAAAAATAAATTAAATTTAAATAAAATTGACTTACCTCTGAAATACATCCCATAAGAACTGATCAGACTGATAAGAATTATATGCCATTTTCTTTTCTGTTTAAGCTATAAAAATATGTACCTACAAATTAATATTTTATTTAAAACAACAAAACAATACATTCCATTTATGTTCAATTAATGCTGAGATTATTGCCAAACATGGTAGCCACCAACACAATTTTACTTTTCTCTTTAAAAACTGCATCTTCTTCAACTTGGTTAAAAGAACATTCATTTTTCAATATTATTTAAATAACTAATTTTTTATTGTAAAAATATTTTAATTTCAGAATATTTCTATGCTGTGCACAGGGACTGTAATAACAATAGCCAATTTATCAGTAAACTGTGAAAAAGAACATAAACTCTTTACCAGAAATTTTGTAAATATTATGTATCTGCATGATGCATGTACACTATTTTTCTTCTGTAGCCAGTGCAGTCAAGGAACATGCTATGCGCTGCATTTCATAAACACACCTAATTTAAATCGGAACGAAATAATAGAATATACTGATTTTTTATAACATTTATTTATATCCTATGGCGAAGACAATAAAAACAGATTTTCAAAGTCTTTTTTTTTTTTTTTTTTAATTTCTTAAAATAAATATATTAAAATCTTGCTAAGATGAACATCCAATGGTCTGGAAGATTTTGGTCTTACCTGGAGGTTGTGTTACCTTACAGAATATAAATATCTATGATCATTTAATTATATTCTCACAAATACTGGCCACTTTCACAGATAGTTGAGATAAAAGATCGTATAAAATTAAAATTGAAAACATCAAACAAGTGAATTTTATCATACATTTTTTAATATGAGCCAAGAGTGTGTTTTTATTTCAAAAATTCAAAACTCATATATAGGCCGAAAAAAAAATCCTGTTATGTTCAAACATGTTGTCATGACAGAGAAAATGATGCCAAGCAGTTAAAACGAGAGGATTATTTTCTAATCAGATCGCTATAAAGTAAAACACCAGCTAACACTGATGATAGTTTTAACTCTGGCAACCATATCTGAAGCTAGTACACTTTTCCCCCAAAGTATTTGAATTTTTCTAATCATTTATTGTCTTGTATATGCTCTGTACTATCTGTGCTAGGTTTATTTTCTGTACCATGAACATGAAAACTGTACGTGTTTATCATTACAGAGAAATTTGAAAATCTTTCTAATTGCTGGTTAATTTCAATCACAGCAGGTTTTAATTGCAGTATGTAAGGTAATCATTTAAGATAATTTAAAAATTTTTTTTTCAACTAAAAGTTCTATTTATTTTAAAACATAATAGTTTATTGCTACAGTTAAGAAAACTGTAAGAAACTGAATCATAATTAACTAATTTATCAGTAAACTGCGAATACATTAGTGCATTTAAGAAACTCAGATTTAAAATCTTGTATGCATTTTACAGAAATAAATGTACCTTATTATCTGATGCAATATTAACATTACAATTGATAAAACTTATTATATGAGCACTTTATCAAAAAAAATGCTCAAATATATTTAATAACTTTTCTTAAGCAATTAACTTCAATTTATTAACAATAGCATTCATATTACAAAAATTTGTAAAAAAATACCAGAAAAATTAATAATTCACTTTATGATATCATGTTATAAACATTGATAACTTTACACTAAAACTTCTTTCTGACAACCTAACAACTCAAAACATAGTTTTAAGCACAGTAAGACCCCGCTTAACGCTGGTCCATTTAGTGCTGTTTCAGTTTAATGCCCTTCTAGTGAAATAGTGGGATTCCCTGAAAATTGTGCACATCATTGGGCTCCCCCAAAATTGAAAGTAATTTATCTGCATCACTTCTTCTACCTAATGTCACACAAACATATTTTTATTATTTAAAACATTTGTTGTTGTTATCATAAGTTTAAATTTATATAATGTAATGATTGACATAGTGATAAATATTAGAATAGTTAGTTTTTAATATGGGTGATAATAAGAAACACAAAAACAAAGTGACAAGAAAGAGCATTTTGCTAGATACAAAAATGCAAGAGCTTAGAAGAATAAATAGTGGTGAATGTCAATGTCAAACTGATGTTGCATCGAACTTGTCAACTTCAACAATAAGGACAATTCTTAAGAATAAAGAAAAAATAATGTCATCAGCAATTACAACTACAAGAACCTCTGCAACTAGAATAACCCCTTCTAGAAATAATATGATAGAAGAGATGAAAAAACGACTTTCTATAATGGATTGAATGCAATATGTCATTAAGGCAAGCTATTATAATGGAAAAGCGAGAATAATTTTTAATCACATTCAGACTGAAACAGGTGACACAACTGAAACTTTCATTGCAAGTAGAGGATGGTTTAACATCAAAATAATGTTTATAACATACAGATTACAGAAAAAGCAGCAAGTGAAGATATAAAAGTGGCGACTGAATTTCTAGCGACATTAAGAACAATAATTGAACGAGGAAACTATCCTCCAGAATTAGTTTTTAATGTCAATGAAACGGGCCTATTTTGGACAAGAATGCCAAAACATACAGTTCTATCTCATGAAGAAAAAGGTGTAACAGGATTTAAAGCTGTGAAAGATCACTTAACACTTCTCCTTGGTGCTAATGCCAATGGAGACTTCAAATTAAAGCCTCTTCTTGTTTATCATTTCTTAAAACCAAGAGCGATGAAAAGCATATCAAAATCAACACCTGTTATTTAGGAGCGCAATAAAAAATCATGGATAATTATGAACATTTTCCAGAACTGGTTTACTGAACATTTTTGCCCAGTGCTACTTTTAATGGATATACTACATATGCCATGTTATTAAGGCAGATAATGAATTTATCTGACTTAATAACATGAATTCTACTCAAAGTGGTTTTCTTAACCCCTTCCCCAACACAACTGCATTAATCTAACTGATAGACTAAGGTGTTAAATCAAATTTTAAAGCTTACTACCTGAGGCAAACACTTCAACAAAAGTTTGAAAAACAGACAGAGCTAATAAAGAATCAGTAAAAGATTTTGGGAGAAACTATAATATCATGGATGCTATAGAAAACATAAATATGTAATGGAATGAGGTAATGGGAAAATGTTTGAAAGGAGTGTGGAAGAACATTTGGCCATATTTAAACAAAGATGATGACACTAAAGATTCTGTTGTTGATATGAACAAAATAATGAAATTAGAGAAACAAACAGGTTTAGATGAAGTAAATGTGGAAGATCTCAAAGAGAATTTGCAAGCAATAAGAAACAGCAGAAAGTCTTTCTAATGATGTGCTCAAGGAATTAGTGGATCAAGAAGTGCACAAAAATATTAAAAATAGCAATTCTGAAGAAGAGCAAAAAAAACTTTCAACAGCATTTCTAGAAATCAGTTTAGCTTCCATAACAGAAATTATGGACTTATTTATTGAAAATGACACAGGTTTTGACAGGAGTTCAAAGGCAAGACGGGGCGTCAAGGATTTCTTGTTCCCTTATTGGCAGCTTCTTATGGAGCACAAAAGAAAAATGCAAATGACATTAGATAGCTTCTTGATAAAAAAACAGAAAATTGGAAATGCAGAAAAATCTGAATGATGTCAAATATAAATGGCAATTTAAAATTTTATTTATTTTTTATATTCATTTGCTATGTTTCGGTATTAGAAAGAAATAAGTTTTTATTTTGTATTGTTAAGAATACATATTTAATGAACTTAAATAACAACATACTTGAAGAATTTTTTTATTTTATTCCCGTTTCCCCCTGACTCCATTATTTACATGATGAGGTGAACTCGTTTAATGCTATTTCCTATAATGTTTTACGCTGATGGAATGCGACCCAAGTGTTAAGCAGGGTTTTCCTGTAATGAATTTACGATCTCATAGATCATATAGAAAATGATGAGCTACTACTTATTTTATTTTGATTTTCTGTAGTAGCATTTTGAACCTCAGGCCAAAAACTGGAGTAATAAAGACTATAGAAGTTTTGATAAATCCAGTAAAACTATAGTTACATCATGGAATTATAAATTACCATGTAATTTATAAATTACATGGTGATTATGATTTCAAAAATTCTCCAGACCCAGATGTCTACTGCTACATTTCCAATGATGGGAACACTTCAGTTCCTCCAATAAAGACAGAAACCTAATTATTCACATAAGGAATATCTCTGATAAAATATAAATACTTAACTAGAATAAAAAAAAAGAAACTGGAGAAATTTTAGTATGAAAAAGATACAGTGAAACCTGGGTCCATGATTTTAATTCATCCCTGAAGATCATACAACGGCCAAAATCTTCGTAAACTATGACAGTTTTCTCCATAGGAATTAATGTAAAATGTATTCATTTTTTCCAGCACCACACATGATTGCTTATTTATATTTTACAACAATACTTTGTGTCACGTTTATAGTCGCAAATCAATGGAAATCAATAAATGTACAACAAAAAATATAAACACAATATTAAATGGACAGAATAAATAAAAAACTTGATTTTATTGCATTTATATAAAACAGAATGAATGGCTTCAGAGGAAAATGATGGCAAAAATGTTATTTTGGATACAAAATTCTGCTTTAGAAAAATGCCACATAACTCTCTTTAGGGAAAATAATGGCATTGTCAATAAAATTGTTTTTGTTGTAGCATGCTACTACTTTATCAACGCAATATTATTATAAGAAAACTTCATTATAAGCATCCCCCCCTTTAAACCAAATTTTGTGAATCAGAAAATTATTTCTTTCCTTTCCTTCTTAAAAATTTCTTCCACAATTGCATTTGAAGCGAGATCTTCATGATTAAAGGTTCTATTGCACATTCAAATCAAATAGAATTTCTTTATAACTACCAGATCACTATGTGTAGAAATACAAGAGATAGCATAATTTGAACAAAAATTTATCTTAATTAAGAAACCAGTTTGGAAGAATTATGTTGATTAACAATAATAATAATAAGATGAAATATATATTTAATTATGAGTATAAGTGAAAATTATACTATGCGTTTTCATGGTAAAAACACAGGAATATTTATGGTAACTT